GGCCGCCTGGGCACACTGCCGGCTCATGTTCAGCCGGCTGTCGACCAACACCCCCTGGACCTTTTCCAGCCACTCTTCCCCAAGCCTGTAGCGCTGCATGGGGTGGTTGTGGCCCAAGTGCAGGACCCGGCACTTGGCCTTGTTGAATCTCATGTTGAGTTTCACCTCCAAATGGAAGCGGACGAATTTGCAAGAGATCAACTGAATGTATCCAATTTTAGAATCTGGATTGCATTCTGCTCCAAGTTCTTCTAAATGCTTAGATTGCTTGCCTTTTCTATTAGTTATTAGGAGAGAGTGGTCACACTTCTCTGGAGAGCAATCCTTTCCTGTTTGCATCACTGCAGAGCACTCCTTTTCTCCCATAAAGAGGAAACAAGCAAGCAAGCTAGCCTCTTTCTGAGGGTTTTGGCTAAGGGCAGATTGCTTTTCATGAGAAGGGTGTTGGATAGAGGAAAGGTCTGCCTTTCCTCCCCAAACGCTTTCCTGACGCTCCATCTCCACCCATAGTACTGTGGATGTTCCAGCTTGAATGAGTTAAAGCCCCGAGAAGGCTATTTGCCATTAAGGCACTGTGCCAAGAGTCAAAACTTTGATTTTAATGCGCTCCTATTTAAAGAGCGCTGGCAACAAATTCACTCATGAGGGATCTTTATTTTAGGAGTCTGATAGTGTCAAATGAGGGATTAAATCTTAAAAAATGAAGTAGAAAGCAACCGATGCTGAATGTTTGTAAGGACTGCAAAACAAGTAAGGCTCTACCCACAGGCACTTTGGAAAAAAAGAGGTGTTATCCTTTCCTAAGAGATTCCTGTCCCCTCTAACGTGCTTATAAACTGATAATCAGTCTAAGAAAGCAAAGGTTTTGAAGACTCATATCCCCATGGATCCCTGGGTTACTCTCTTCTGTTGCAATAAATGCTTTCCTTTATATCAAGAGCATGAAGCTTCATAAACAAAACCGCTTCAGAAGGAGTACAGAGGACCTGTGTCACTCCCATATCATTGGGGAGGTACTGCAGTATCAGATGGCAGATCCTCAGTAGCTGTTCAATAATACTGAAACATGAGCGAGAGTGCAATCTTAACCTTATCACGGCTTTTCTATAGGCCAGCTAGATTTTTAGGGATTTTCCTACATTTTGTCTCTTTTCCCTTTTTCAAAGCAATTCTACTATCTGTTTAAAAAAAAATTAAAAAGTGATAAAACCAAATCTACAGACAAATCTGTAGGTCAGAGGGTAAAAAGTGTTATTTTAGGCTGTAGTGTGTCAGATTTTCACCTTATATACAGTGAATCACTATTTACACATCCACTTCCCCCATAATTACCATCTTGTTATGTCTGAGGTACTGCCAGAAGGAAAAAAAAAAGCTACTTTCTTCAGTCGATTTTGTGGAAGAGCACCTCATTATCATGTCTTTCGGAAGCTATCCACAAATTCTGGTGTTTGCAGGCTGCAAAGTGAACAAGGATGTCTGATATGGTGCTACAAACCTTATGAGCTGCAAAATTAAAACAAGGCTCTGCAGATGGATATGAGAAGACAGGAATCTTCATGTTTGTCGCAATACTCTTGAGAGATAATTACGGGGTGGACTACACATGGAAGGAGTTGAAGATATTACGGTCTATGCACACCTATTTGTTACCTTCTTACTGTTATTTTACAGTAATACAGGATTTGGCTTCTGTTCCTAGATACTTATGCAACACAAGCTGCTCTCTGGCAGCATGAGCAAGTATTTAAATGTTATTATAAACTTAAGGGGGGGGGGAAGGAAAGAGGGGGGAAAGAGAAAACTTTAAGAGAAGTCTCTGGTTGGTATTTCTTTTTGTCTCTACATCAGTGTAGCTGTATATTTTACCTTAGCTTGACTTTTGCTAAAATGATAACATCTATCCTTTCTGAGAAAAAAGATAATGGCAGCTCTTAGGTTTTGTTGTGAATGTATATTTGCATTTCTTTTAAAAACACAGAGAGAGAAAGGGAAAGAAAAAGACCAAAAGCCATGGAAATGCAGAATGTCTGTGGTGATTTAGGCAGTGGAAACGCACAGGTTCACCACATTTTAAACACCTTTATTACATTGGAGTAAGACTTGTTTCTTTTCGAATCAGGCCACATATGCTTACTTGTAGCTTTTGGCCTGCTCATGGCAAAACATTGCAAGGTTAAATTTATTATGTGTTGCTAAAGGAGAGTCAGAAAAGCAAGCTTAGAGAGCAAGGAAAGAAAAAAAAAAAAGAGTAAAGTATTCAGTGTGTATAGAAAATAG